ACTACAGAAAAAAAACAGATTTAACTCATATATCGGTTATTTCGGAGAAGTAAATTAGTTAATATGGAGAAATGAGAAATGTGATATTTGAGAGAAATAAAATTCTAATCAATGAATGATTAATATATTTGAAATATTTGTTAATGATTTAAGTGTGAAAAATAATTATAAACCTTGTATGGGTATAAGATCCGGATTAGCTGCCCATATTCGTTGTACATCTTCCGATAATGTATAAATCAGATAATATAATAACAGTAGCATGCTCTAAATATATAAAATAGTGAAATGTAGAAGAGAGAGAGAGAGAGAGAGAGAGTAGTTGTGATTGTATTATGTAAAATCGTTTTGTCGTCTTTATACGACGATTGACTACCACATCTGAAATGATGATAAGGAATTAAAACTGATTTTAAAAAGAAAAACAAGTGATTAGATGCATGTTAAGAAGTATCAATGGATATTATTATCACTATCTACCAATTAATATTTCAGTAGCTAAATTAATATTCTCAAACAAGTAATATTTGAAAAGTATTAAAAAAAAAATGTATCAAATCATTTGCAGTATCAATGGAAGAAGGCAGTAAAGAGAAATGGAATGAATGAAAAAGCAACGCTGCAAATCATTTCTTAAATTGAGAATGAGAAGAATTGGCCAATTCATATTTCAAACTCTATCAGTGATAATATTTTATCAATAGCAATAATAATAATAATAACAACAAACAATAACAAACAACAACAACAACAATAATAATATCATTATCATTAACGGTAATACAATAAATTCTGGTTTTTAAAGAAAACTGTTAAACAGTAAGCAATCATCATCACAACTTCTAAATTCTTCTGTATTTTGCCATTTATGTGTTAACGAAAGTAAAGCTATGAAATGTTAAAAGCAGGCAATTGAACAGTGTGTTGCGCATGTCAACAGAATAAAAGACAGTACGGTGAATCAATTTCACATTTGCAATTAATAAAATTGTTTGTTTCGAAATTGAAACTAGTAAAGAGTCGACAAGAATGGAATAGCATTAAAATAAGAAAAGAAAGAAAGAAAGGGAGAAAGAAGTTATTACAGGTAGAATGATATAGGCGGGAGATGAAAAGGTTAGGGTAAATGAACCACCACCACCACCACCACCACCATCATCATCATCATCATCATCATCTTTTCTCCTCTTTTCTCCCTCTTTCCTTTCCCCCGCCTTTTTCTCCTCCTACCTTTTTCACCAATATTATCACGAGGCAAAACAAAAATGATGCTCAATAATGAAAGACGGGGGAAGAAAGAGGAGAATTAGGAGAGGGGAAAGGATGAATGTATGTATTCAACAAATTCTCTCACTTCAAAATGATGATGACAACAAATAATGACGATGACGACGATTGCACACCTACCCGACCCGATCTCGCCCCTCTTCCATTCCACACCTCGATCGACAGCACCGGTCATGTCTCCATCATCACTACTATCGGTCTTTTACCGACCGGTAACAACATCGTTACGAATAGCGCACCTTTCCTTCCTCTTCCTCTTCCTCTTCCTCTTCTTTTAAACTCTTTTCTTCTTTAATTGGTGCTATTATAGGCTCAGCAAAGGCATATCAATACCGTATGATGTACCTTTCATATTCTTATTATTTAAATTATATAGCACACTGAAATAACTTAACAAAAAGCCTATATAATCAGTGTAGATCATATAGGTTAACAGATAGTTCATGTTATCAATATATTATCTTCTTTCAATGCCGTCTATCTGTATCTTTTTGATAGTACCATGTAACAATAAAAGAATTTAACAAAGGGATAGTTATATGTCTTTTCTTAAAATTTCGATATCTCTTTCTGGGAACAATAATCGATTTGCTTTTTATTCATCTTTTCATCTTTCCCGTTTGTCCTCTCCCTCCACTCTGAAACCATAGTAACCGTTATTTAATATTCTCGCAAAAAAAATTTGCATTAAAATATCATCCGCTCGGCAATGATCGATTTCTTAAAGAGTACAGAATATGTAATTAAGAAATGTATTAAATCCTTTCATATTTTCTTCTAAATATATCGCATACAAAAATATAGCAGCAGTCTTTCGAAACTTTCAAATTTATTAATTTTATAAAATTTAAATGTGTACTTGTAGCATATATGTGTACTTGTATTTTACTTGTAGCATATATTTGTAATTTAAATATTTGAATGATACAAGATTAGTTAGGATTGAGGGATGCTGAAAAGAGAGAGAGAGAGAGAGAGAAAGAAGCCGAGAGAAAGAGTCGATCCGTTTTCACCGGTCACATTACTGATGAAGATCTTGATTAATGAATGGATAAGAGGGAGAGAAGGGGAGAGAGAGAAAGACGGGGATTGTGCACAGAAAGAAAAAGGATAACTGAAATGATGATAAAGAACAATGGAATCATTAAATCAAATGATTACATAAAATGCTTAAAAATTGTTAAACTGATGAAAACTAAAATAGAATGTATTCAACCATATTTGTATAACAACTTTGAATTTCATTTTCAAATTGTATTGAAACATTTGAAATTGTTAGTAATGCTTCCAAGAAATGTTAGACAAATTTGAGCGCTTTCTTACCTTTCAATTTTACTGTATAGTTCCTCTAAAATGTAATGTAATACTTTCAATGACATAAATGTTTATACATTCAACTATAAGCAAAGGTCTAAAAAAAAAAAAAAGAAAAAAAAAACATAAAGAAGCATCGGGAATAACAAGACTTCAAACCATATAGCACACATTTTGACGCCATCAATATCATACAAGAATGTGTCAGCCCGCAATGCTGCTCAGAACACCACGAAAGGGGAGGGGAAAATTTGAAGGGTTTGTCATTTTGGTCTCATCAACAAACTAACCAGCCATCATCACTTCACTATCACAAACCTGATTTTGTATGAGCACAGGATAAAAAGCGATATCATCCATTCATTCATTTACATTTATTTATCGTCCATAACTCACTTCCTCTACCATTCATTTTACTGGCTCAGCCCATCATATATATATACATGACAATATGATGACCATATACCACACCAAAAAGTAATAGAGGAAGCGGTATGCATGACATACTGGAACACATTTAAATGAGCGAAATGTTGAAGATGAATGGTTTAGGTTGAATCTTTCAATGAAATGGTCATCTCGGATGGATGGTCACAATATATATTGAGAGCTGTAGAGCATATTGTAGAATAGAACAAACAAGGGTTATGCATTTTCGAAGTTTGACAAAATAAACTATTTAGCGGCCGCTCAAGAAGAAGTTATTTATCGTTATCCTTCACCTTAGAATTTTAGACTGTTCAAATGCAACTTTGAAAATCTATATTCAATAAATTTATTAGAAATCCACAAAGAACATCAATAATTAAATATAATGAATAATTGAGCACTCAGTGTAAGTGCATTAGCCCTCGCCAATATTTATAGCAAAAAAGTAGAGACGAATTTCTTACAAATATACGCTATAATAATTCAACAGTAAACGAATGCTGGAGAGCATATTCAATGCTCTCCAGCGTGGGAAATTTACTTCCTGTTAAGAAACTTATCTCATATTAGTGACCACCAGTTCAATTTTACAGGAAGATAAGCGAAATGATTATAAAACTCGATTTTTCTCTTCTATCCTCATTCTAGCCATCTTTTTAACAGCACTATCTTCATCGTCAGAAGTTTCCAAATAAGGTATTTCATCTGTGTTAAATAAATCTTCATTAATTTCCATACTTCCAATACTATTACCAGTCTTTTCCCACTGAAATAATGAAACTATGGAAAATCATATATAAAAACAGATACCAGATAAAAGGAAGTATGAATCTTATTAAAAAAATAAACCTTTCAAAGCTTTTTACAGCAGTTTTCAGTGGAATTTATAAATAGAAGTGTTTTAGGAGAATACCGTAAATTTGAAGCAATCTATAAAAAAGACAAAGCAAGAAGAAATGATGCCAACCTTTTTATTGTTTAGCAAGTCGTCATCCAGCATATGTCCTCCGCCCTCCACGCAGTAAAATGTACGCTCATCAGCTTCAAATGCCTTTGCGTCTAACTAAACTAACAACTACTATAATCATTTAAAATAACCATTTTATCAAGTCACATATGATAAATAGACTTAAACCATAACTCCAAGTAACGTTGATGAAGCATTTTTTTGTTTATTTTCGTGACGCTACAAAAAAAGCAAGAGTATGAAGTAATAAAGCAAAACCTTTTCCTCGTCATACAAGTCGTCATCCAACATATGTCCTTCGTCATCGATACAATAAAATGTACGCTCATCGATTTCAAATGGTTTTATCTCTGACTAAACAAACTATTACAATTATAAAAAGAAATAAAATTATAATTGCGCTTATTTTAAGTTTACTGCCTCGAAAAATTATTAGAACATGAAAAAAGGTTCCATTACAAATGCTATTAAAAAACATGAAATGCTGCTTCTTTCAAAAATTCCTTGCGCTGTTATTGTGTAGAAAAGCAAAACGGAGATATATAATGGGCAAATAAAAACCTCATCATTATCTTCCTCCTCAAATCCTCTCTCAAATGCAATACCACCTTCCATATCTCCTTCGTCTTCCACTACTAACTCTGGATTATAGGTGAACAAATCACGACCACTCATACCGATCTACAACATTCAAATATTTCGAAATGTACTTTTACATCGTTCAAAGTAGAATTAGAAAGCAGTATATATTTAATCTGCACCAAATCTTATAGTTTTTTTTTCAATAATATGTTTTTTTAAAAAAAATGTTATTTCGAATAAGGCTTGTATTCAAGTGATGACAGAAAACTATTGCATAAGAAATGATAGGAAATCTCACCGATTTACCCGTCTTAATGTTTTTCTTTTTTTCTTTTACTTCTTCTGCAATTTTCCTTTTCCGCTCTCGTAGTTTCTTCTTTTTCCAGCAGATAAATGTTTCCAGTGTCACTTTCGTAAGACTTTCTGGCTTAAGTTGTGCACGCTAAAATGTTATGTGTAAAGAGCAAGGAAAAATAACATGAGATTTTGCAACATTTAAACACTCTCAGAACTTCAAATACAATACTTCTTTCTCCAGGAGTTCTTCCAGGCTGATTTCGTTTAGCCGTTTATGCTCTTCCATCTTCTTCCTATCTTTTTTTAGAATATAATCTGATGGCAAGGCATGCCTATAAATACAACCGTCGCCATTTGGACATTCCCAAAACCAACCGTATTTGCTATTCTCAACAGCTTCCAGAAAATATTTACAAACCTGGAAAGAAAAACAAAATTCATACTGATAAGAGAAATTATTTGAAAACATGTTTGCTGTGTACACAAAAACTTACAATATCTGTTTGGTTTAACCTTTTTCTGTCATGTTCTCCATGTTTCTTCTCGGCGACTTCGCTTAATTTAGATTCATCCCAATCATCTATGTTATCTGAAATAGCTACTGCTTACGAATGTCAGTAATTTCAATGTTGAAAAACATTGATATAAGATAAAAATTTTAAATGCACAAAATTATCAACCCAAGTGAAAGAAAATATTTTTGCAGGATTAATGAGATGATAATCTTTCTTCTTTCTTCCTTTTCTTTGCTTTTACTTCCAAACGTTCTATTCTTACTCTATTCCTATTCTAGATGAGAAGCAAAAACATATTACTTATTATCATGACAAACAAGAATATATCATTTACCATCTTCTTTTAATAAATCTCGACTGTCAACATAAAGATTCTTTTTAGCTGTCTTCTGTTCCTTTGATAAGTCGTGACTAAATTTGCACTTTTCACCCTTATGACACATTCCCTGCTTGTAAAACAAACAAACTACTGATTTAGGATCGACATCTGCAATTAAAAGATGTAGACCACATAAAAGCTTCATATCAATATCAAAGAAACATTATTGTTACTAATTGTTGCTAGTAACTACAGATCTATCTATATACTTTTAATAAAAGATTAAAATTGTTGTATCCCATGACGTAATGTAAATATCACTTAGTTCGAGAACACAACAAAATGTACAACAATCAGTGACAAAAACTTCTTCTTAGCTACCAATCAAATCAGGGTATACCTCGCGCCACCTTAGACATCTCAGTCACCGGCTTCAAAAGTTTATTCAAATCTCGTAGTTCACTATCAGCTGTTTTCTTCTTGGCCGCAGCTTTCTCCGCATCGATTTTCGCATGGTTTACATTGCCGTGTTTAATCTTCAAAAAGGGATGATCTGTTTAAAAGCCAGACCTAAATTAAAGTCAAACATTGAACTCACCATTCTTTATCTGATGCAACCCACATCCTTTACCTCTTTTTATATAAAAAAAACAAAAGGTATTACCACAGTATAGTGTTTAACGATGCAGTGCTTCTAGAAAACCATCAAAAATATCAAAGCTTTAACATCGAAAATTTCAAGTATTGACTTAAGAAAAGGGCAGCAAGGAAGGAAAAGAGCAAAATGATAGACTGTTATCATAGATCTACCAGAGCTACACTTCAAGTGATGTCACTTGCCTGATTTGTTACTTGCTGCACATATTTCTGTGTCTTTGCTCCTTTCTTATTTTTCAGTCCGAATGTTTTGTCTTCAATTATTTTTTCTTTCTTTTTCTGCTCGGCCTTTTTGCTTGGAGCATTTTTTGGTGGCATGTTGACGAGTTTTTTCTGAAAGTTTCAAGACTGTTAATTGCAGATGAATTATATGAAAAAAAACTAGCCTAACAAATAACCTACAGATCATATTGGTATACTATAAACCGAGAAAATACATTGGTGAAATTTTGAAAAAAAAAGCACGGATTATCGTAAGAGTAAAGCGTTAGCAGTTTAGGACATTAAAATCCATACTTGTCAGCAGTTTATTATAGGACATTAAAAAAAACTAAAACTGCAAAGCGATAAACTATAAGCTATGCAAAATAAAACCTAAACTGAAAAGAAAACCAAGCCAAGATTTAACAAGTGTAAAATGAAAAGTGACGGATATAAAACGGGAAGTTATGTGTGTGACCGATCAACTTTTCTAACAAACTTCATCAGATCTTTTAGATAATTGTATCATTTCTCATTCACTCTAAATATAACTGAATAAATCTAAAAATATGTTAGCAATCTTGAACAATTATCCATACTATCAACATTTCTTACATTGCTATATCACCTAAGATCAAATAAAATATGCCAAATCAAAAGTTTTCAATAACGAGGTCACCAATTACCAACAACGAATCGATTACAGCACAAACTCTCGACTTTGCAACATAGCGCAGTAGCAGTGGCATCGATGTTGCATGCTTTCTTTTTGTGAAAATGGGATGATCGGGATAGATCAGTTAGATTGATTGGTAGAAATAATCGCGTGGGGAGTATCATTCTTTATTTGCTCTAGCTAGAACGATCTTATTGATGATGATTATTTTAGTGTCGTTTTGAAGGTATTATTTCAAAAAAATTCTTATCTTCCTTTGTCTACGAAAGAAAAAAAATGTCTTACAAACTGATGTTTAAAAATTTTAATTGACGGAAATGTTTATCAGAAAGTTCAAAATTCACTTTAAATAGTGCTAGACATTTTATCGCTGTCCATATATACTGTGTGTGCATGCATGTTTTGTTGTTTTGATTTTCAGGTTGACGAGAATTGTTATCATATGCTGCAATACGTCTATAGGTTATTTGGTGATGATGAAAACGCTGATACGGCAAATTTGTCAGATTCTCCTACGGATGGCACTTCACAGAATCGGGTTTGTTCATCATACTTGCCATATTTTCACCTATACTTCTGTATTCTTTCATTTACCACGTTTTTCTCCAGAGCATATACTTCGAGAGTATATAGAGCATATACTTCGGGATGATGATAAAAGTAATGAAGAATCGCAAACAATTCTAGATTGTGTAGAATTGTTCAGGAATACTATCTTACCAGGTGATAAATAGTGATTTCATTTTCAGCCCAATGAAACAGCTTCATCGCTATCCTGGGATCTACGAGTACAATGTTTTCTTGGCTGCCTTTGTTTGTCCATAATATGCTCTTTAGGTGGAAGCACCCTACTTTTTACATGGAGAGTTACCGGTTTTACTGTAATGACATCTTTGGGTAGTATTCTGTCACTCCTTGGGTTCGTCTTTATATCAGTTATTTTACGAATTAATTTTTTTTTTCAATGCTTCATCAATAGTAATATTGTTGATAAAAGAGCATCTGAGAAATAGTTCAGCAAATTTATGGAGACTGTGAACGATTGCAAAGGTGTACTTTCCTTCTTTACATTCATTTGCATTTCCTGTTGGATAAGCTGGTAGACTTATCATGATGGGCTATTATCTCGAAGTATCTCTTTAAAATTAAACCAAGAAATTGACAGTCGTTTTTATCGATATTTCAATTTCTTAAGTTTAGCAGAATCAAGTATTTTTCAACAATTTGCCTCTTTTTAGGACATGTTTTTTAATGGGCCCTTTAAGACAGTTACAAAAAATGTTTGAACGAGGACGTTTCTTGGCATCACTTATGTATTTACTTTCTATAGTCTTTACATTAATAGCCGGCCTTGTTTTTTCGAATCCTCCTCTGGCGCTTGTTTTCGTCATTGGCCAATACATTGCAATGACCTGGTATTCTATAACATATATACCTTTCGCACGGTATGACTTTTATTATTTAACACATGCTTGCATTATCAATCTTTCTTGCAGTTATTGTTACAAAAAAAAATACTGAGACATAAGTAAACTAGCTTGCAAGTTCGTAATTTATAAATATTACTTGTATATTCGTTTCAGCGAAGCGATATCGTCACTGTGCTGCAACTGGTTTAGCTGACGAACAGTCGGTAAATAAATTTCGAGAAACATGGGCGTCCTAAAATCGCCACATAAATTGGTTTTGATTCGCATTTCGAAAACTGTGATTTTTTAGAATATAATAATATGTTTTTCTGTTGCTTATATTTTGTTTTGAATGTAGATAATACTCTTTCCTGATCTCGGATTCATTCTACCATTGAAATGGGTCAAATTACTTTCACTTTAGATAGCACGCATTGATATGATATGCATTCTAGCTTATCAGATGAGGACATTATTTTAATTCCGTTCTCGATTGTCCTGTTTTGATATAGATTACTAATTTCGATTTTGTTAATGGTAATTTTTTTTTAAATGAAAATATTAGCTAGAATGCTAGATGATAGGAAGCTGAGTGTTATACTCTGTATTACTGTGTTAAATGTTACATTTTTTCAAAACTTTGTGACTGACTTGTTTCATGATATTTTTGCTTACATAGACTGTGAAATTTTTTGAATAGGCTAATTTTGTATCTTTTTAAAGTTAGCAAAAGGTTTGTATATTTTCCATTGAACTTCATAATAAATACTGAACAGTACTGGATGATTACACAACTTATATGCATATTTTTCATATGTAATAGTTCACTGATTTCACGGCACATTTTTCTATTGCTTTATTGGCAATTTGTAAATAGATTTTATCACAACACTTTTTCAGTGGCATTTTGCACTGAATTACAAAGCAATAGTGGTATTAAACCGGCCTGACTTCTTATAGTATGTATTGTGACAGTATTACGAAATAGTGACAATTTATCAGTTAATGGAAATTTTCTCATTTTTAGACCCTTCTGCCCCTTCCTAACTCTTATTTGTTCTTCATTTTTCGATTGTTATTTTGATACGGTAGCATTTGCGTTTAATACATGTCATTTAGTCAAATTGCATAATTTTTAAGCTTTTCACACAATTTGCAACTCCAATTGACATTTGGAAATTTATCATTTCGATATTTTAATATTACAGTAGTGTGTATGCAAAAATTTGTCACGAATAACAGTAATCTTTTACTGAATTTTATGATGAAAATTTTCTACGTTTTTCTCTCCGTTTGCTGCTGGTCCTTTTTACTGTTTATTGTTGACAGGTTTTTTTTGTAGCAAACCATTAAATTAGATCAGCTTCTTAAAACATTTTTTACTTTCGTTTCCAAAGCTCGAAACTGTTCTAAGGAACTGATCACTTGTAGAGTATTTAGGGTAATTAATTGGTGCAAGTTTTCTGAGAAATCTGATTGAGAAGTCTATTAAAGTTAATCAAAGTAGAGCGGAATAAATCTTTAAAAGTATGGAGCATAACTTTGCACTTTTTTATGCTTTGTCATTCATTTTTGCATTTTGAATGACTATAGCTGAGGTTGTGGAATAGATCAATCAGTATGCGAACGTATCGATCGCCTGGAGGTATTGCCTTTTTTTCAAAGCCCATTAATTTTTCAGAACTCAATAAAATTCAAAACTCATTAAATAACGTATGTTATTTAATGAATTTTGAATAATATCATGTGAGAAGTTTTCCATCGAACTCTTTTATCAAAAAATATGAAACTAAAAATAAAATTCTGGTTAATAAAAGATCAGAGAAAATGAATAAAATGTTGATTGACGAGACATATTAATTTATCTCACATTCTATCACACATTTTGAATACAAATTCGGCTTCAATACATATCATTTAAAAAAAAAAAAACAACTCAATACTAATCATAATTTATTATTACAATAAAAATTTTGAGTTGATTATTTTAGTATAACGAATAAAAATTTTGAATTAATTATTAATGTAACAATGTTTATGAAATGTAATTACTAACACTGGTAATTTACCACAAGAACATCTTTGAAAACTGAAAAACAAGTATGAATTGTTGTTACACTGCATCTCGTTTCTGTTAATATTAGTGAAAATTCATTTTCATTCTATTTTAAACATTCTTTTCTCTCGAAAAGCACAAACTGTCACATTTCCATACTTTCATACCCAATACTAATGACAATGATGAAAAAAAAAATTCATATAAAAGTATAATATTTAGAATTTAGTTGTAAATAACATCAATTATTCAATAACTATTATTTTTTCCACGCTAAACATAATCAATACTTACACGCACGTCCGCATACAGGTCCTATTCAAGCTACGAATTATCATAAGGGGTCATTGGTCATTCATTTGAATTGGAAGCTGTTATGAATCATACGGATTATAAATTGATAATTACTAGCTGCTCATGCTATCATTTCACAAAAATTTGATAAACCGAACTTTCTTCTAAAAAATAATTAAATATTTGGAATAGCTCAATGTAAGCTTGAAATTAATTTTTAAATACGCTTCAATTAAATGCAATCGTTTTTTTCTTAATCAAAAATGTAAAATTGAAGATACCTGCATCCACTCATGTTATCTTTTATCAATTCCGTTATCCAATCAACCTATTTCTCGAACCTATCCTATTCCATCTCCCTTTGAATGCAAGCACAAATAAATGTTTTCCAAATATAAATCAAATAATATGTTCATTGAGCAATATTTTATCATTTTAAATTATCAATAATAGCTAAATTATCAAAAATTTCACTTCCACAAAACTTTGCACACAAACAATAGTGTGTTTTGCGCTCCTACTGATGACACATTTTTTTCCGTACTACATTTCTGCTAAATGTTAAATATTACACGAAATTGAAGTTGTCATCAAGATTGCTAAAAATATGCAAATGAGCACCGTGATAAACGATCAGAGAAGAAAAAAAAAACCCAATTATTTCAATGATACCGAATTATCAGCTTTGTTTAAATGGTATTATACAAAGAGGTGTTTGTTGCAAAGCTTTTAATTTTCTCGCCTTCAGGGTATAACTGCAACAATTTTCCCCGTTTAATAAGTCTTTCTCGCATATTTTTCAAAACAACAAATACACATCGCATTCACCACTATTTATTTATTTCATTTTTGATCTAACAATTTCAATTTATCATTTTGCAAATTCATCTTCAAAAAGTCATTCATTTTTTATTTCCCGCCTGCTCTTATCTTTCATATCTGTTTATATTTCTTACAGTTCAAGCAATTTTGCTGTTGTATTTTGCAATTAAACCATTCGAGAATCGACAATCACAGCAAATGAATGATCGTAGCTAAATAGTATGAAGTATTGGATAATGACAAATATCATATCAGTGAATAATTATCAAATTTATTTTTCATTATCTTTCTGAATTCACATCCAGAATACTTTCAAATATTTTATTTGTGATGTTTGGCATAATTTATACATTGAACAGCTGTACAAGTACTTCATTTTTGATTCAGCAATTTCAATCCATTTCTTCTCGAGTTCATATTTAAAGGTCATCCTTTATTCTTATTTACCATTTATTGAAATCAGCAAAATGACTGGTTCATAAAATATCACGCATTAGAAATTCCGTCCTTAAATTAAATATTTATTAATGCGGGAATTTTCTCTTAATTTCAACTTTCTCAACATTAAGGTGCTCAAAGTATGTTTTTTATTTTAATTTGTTAAAAAAAAAAATTCTTCACGTAAATATCTTTCTCTTTTAAAAGAGCAGAAAGAAATATTTGTGGAAATGATTAGTTTACAAAAAGAACTTGTTATGCTTTCTCGCCTTTCTGCTTTATTACCCTTCCTATATTTTTAATTTTTTTTTTTTTTAAATTTATGACAAATGAAGCTATTTGTCGTACAACGAAGTTGCATTTCTTTATCGTCATATTTCTATTTCACTAAAGGTATGAGCTATTCATGTTCTTAGAGATGGCAGTTTAGATTCATTAAAGCTCATATTGATAATGTTGCTTTTAAGGTCATATTGATAATGATACTTTTACCTTTTTAATTGTTACCAGATGGTATAAATGAATTTCAGTTATGCATCGACAAATATTCATTATCTTTGGCTATTCGTTCTTATGTGGTTGGAATATTCAAGGAAACAAACGATCTGTTGATCATAACTGGGAATCATCAAAAATTCCTCGATTTCAATTCGAGATAGCTCATTTAAATAATACAAAAAATAGACGCAATAACAGAATTCCACCACCACCAATTGGTCACAGTTCATTAAAGCAGAAATTGGATCATTTCAATAGCAATGATGGACGAAAATGGAGACAGGTAATCATTATCATTCGTTTTTTGGTTATTATTATCATTTTTATCTATCATTTTTTATTCTCATTTTTAATACAGCCATTTATTCATTCCATCAAATATTTTTGTTCATATCTAAAAGTTACGAAAATTTATGATTTGCAGTTTTACACGCACAGGAAATCACCACATCAAAGTCCTGATGGTGCGGTATTTCTGGTAGTTGGTGGAGAAGGTGAAGCTGATCGTGCTTGGCTAACAAATCAAGGCTTACCGTACATTCAGCTAGCAGATCAAATTAATGCTAGTATATTTATGCTCGAACATCGATTTTACGGTAAAAGTCGTCCGACAAGGTATCTCTTCTATTCTTAGCTATTCATAAATTAACTTCTTTAACAAACAATTTGCTTATAAACTAATTAATTATGGGAGGAAAAAGCATTTAATTAGTAATTTAGGCACAGTTATCCCTTATTTTTAGTGATACTTCTATTGAAAGTTTGAAATATCTTGATGCAAAGCAAGCTGTCGAAGACATTAATGGATTTGTTCATGAAGTGAATCGACGAGAGAAATTAACTAATCCGAAATGGATTACTTTTGGTGGAAGTTATTCCGGTTAGATAATTTTTTGCATTTGGAAAAAAAAAACAATCCAATATTACTGATATTCGAATTAGCCAAAATACAATTTCTGTTCATCCATTCAATTTTATTTCTAGTTAATTTTTATGAATTTATATTGATAAGACTGAATAAATAATATTATATATATATGAGCCTATAAAAGTTTTAATACAAATATTTGATTCATTTTTAAT